AGTGCCTATTAATTTATAGCTGCATATATAATTCTTTTGGAACTAGTTACTCGATTTAAATCTGTTAAAAATGTAAAATACAATCGGGCCTCCAGTAACCTAGGTCACGCGACGATACACAACGCAAGCGTTGTTTCAATGGGCGCGCTGTCAGCAGCGGTAAGTCCCCTCTTGGAGGAGTGGCTTCAGAGACGCTACGGCGTCCTCACCAACCGGCTGAGCTTAACATAAAACTACGTCTGGATTTATGCCTTAACCCTTACAGTGCCACGTACCTTCACCATTTTAAACTTAGCAGTTAGTGTTACATACTACAATCTATAAGTGAATTACGATTGGACCGATGACCCTCAGTATATTATATTTGGGTCAATGTTCACTTGTTTCCCAAAATATTTGCACGGAAGGGACCGGGTGAACCAAGTACGTATTATGAAAATGACCTTGGAAGATATATTATGGGTGTTGTGTTAGTGAACCTTCCCTAGTTCGATTAAAATATCCTTGTTATTTTGGCAACTTATACTCAAAATAGTTTTGGACCCGAAATAGAATAATATTTTTTGGAAAGCAAACATATTTTTTGCTAAGTTGTGGACTAATCCACAACGTATCAAAAATCGGTGTAAAACAAATAATCTATGTTCTGCTGTAAGTGTGAGGCGCCGTTTTGATTCTTCTATTATTAATAATGTGGTTGATGCTCATCATTTACTCTCAGGTCAATCCGAAAGCTTGTTTGCCCCCAGGACATAAAAAACGGGGAAACATATTTTTAACCGACTTCAAAAAAGAGGTTTCCTATTTGACCTCATCATCACAAAGTTATTACATTGGACATAACGAAGTACAAAGCATTATTATAATAGTATTTGCCGCAAAATTTTTTCACGTCTTCACGCCCAGCGTCTGAATAGCCAAACTGTGAATATTAAACTTTATTTAAATACATATGATGCAAAATATTTTCACACACACGAATGTACTCATACATTTACATTTTCTACTGAATTCAGCAAATAAATGTCATTATACAAATTTTCATGACCTCCGTCTGCTATTGGAAATTTAATGTGAGGAGTTACGAGATCTTAGACTTTCATACAATAAGCTTAGAGTCGTAAATGGAATTTTAAATCATATTGTTGTAATTTGATGTTTCTTAGACATGTGCATAAAAAATTGCTTCAAAAATTTTCGGTTACGTGACATTATTGTTTAGAAATTTGTGAATTAAATGAGGTGAAATCATACTGCAATAAATTGGTACTTGGTAGAATACACGAGGAACTTTTGTCCGATATATGGCAATAGGTTCGCCTCTTGTTACTCGAGGCTTATGACATAACAAACTAAAAGTCATTCCATTACATAATAAATACATTGGAAGGGAAGAAAAGTCGGCTTTGTATTATCCGGGAGCGCACCAGGTATCAGTTCTGTGGAACAACTTTCCCGGGTGGTCAATGATAAGGACTGATTCAAAAAGCTGACGGCCAACCTTCACGAATCAAGTGGCACCATAGGACGTAGAAGAAGAATAAATAAGTCTGGTTTTTCTCCTTTCTCCTTCACTATCATAAATTCATTGAGTCAGAAACAAGTACCTGCTAAAATAAGGTCGTTATTCCATAAAATGTGATGAAACAAAACCAAAACTGCGGCAAAAACCACAACAGAAAAGCCGCATCGTCACCTCCATCAAAGTCATTAACTGCAATTATTAAAATTCAATAATGTTGCGGACGAACAAACGGTAATTAGCTCCAACCCATAACATTAAATAAGAAAATAACAATTGTAAATCACAAATAATACGTTGAAAATTCAAATGAATATAATTTTCCTGTATTTCGTTACATAAATTAAGCGCTTCAGCGAACAATATTGGCAAATAGCCAGGGTATGGTCACCCCCCATTGGCTC